TGTTATCGTTTAATTTTGTACACGGTTTTCCTTACGAATATTAACTTAAAGTTACTTGAAACACAAGGCCCAGTTCAGTTTACATGTTCTGATAATACAAAACTCGGAAGCTCGAATAATTTTGAAGTATAACACCCCTCCTTACTTCGTCTGTTCAATGTTGATGATTATGGTGAGCCCGGAGCCAAGCAGGCCTAGCACACGTTCTTAAAAGACACGGACCTACTGCATGTGCTTGTCGTGGCATACATGCATCATCACGTTACATTTTTTTTTTAATTCACGGATGGATACCATCAGCTGATTATCATTATAACAATATTTGAAGTAAACGTGGTTTAATCTGCATGGCTAGACAAAAATATGTGTAATTTTGTTTTGTTCCAAAATGCAACTTTCTTTAATTTCTATCTCAATATTCTAAGCATGGCAGTTTGAATGATTTAAATATTAGTTGGTATTCAAATTGATGAGAAGTCGTTTCATATCATCTCAGAATATCTGAACAGCACTACACATTTCTGTAAATCTTAAACATGAAGGTTATAACACATTACATAGTAAATCTCAAATTATTCATTTTATTTGTACACAAACTCATGAAGTATTTTTTTTCAAATCAGGGATCATTAAATTATATACCCCAGCTATTGTAGGGTACAGGTGCCTTGACACAAAACAGAACTGCAATGAGCTGGCAGCCTGACACTATAAAGATAATGTATCTTGCTAGATTCAGACTGTCATGCTGACATTAAACCATAAAAAATTAATCAATTTAATTACAGCTGTATTTTTTTTATTTTCCTCTCAGCATTTTGAAGGAGGTAATGGACCAACTGCTTTATTCCCTGATCCATTACCAGCTGATGTCTCAAAAAGTACCCCAGCAAGGCCATTACCAAAAAGAAGATTGCTTACCTTTGACACAGAGTCATCAGATAATAAAATGAGGAAGAAATTTCCACTAAATGAAAACAGAGATGTGAGTAAAACAGATCTTTATTACTGGATAATACATGTTGGACACAAAAAAGTCATTTTTTAACAATTAAATATGTATACATATAAAAGGCAAGAGTGTTGTAAAATACAAGTTGAAAACATCTTCAGATGTTAGTTACAAGTCTTTAATATTGTTTACAGAAATACTTAACTACTGTCTTTTTTTATATTATTCGCTGAACACATGTATATATTGGATTGTATTGTATGAGATCAGTGTCATAACAAAATCAATGACTATATATACCTTCAAGACAGCATAAGACAATTTCTTCCTCCTTTTTTTTTACAGCACAAATTGTGAATTTGAAGCAGATGATAACTCAGAGGGAACAGTCCTTTCAACAACTGAATCAGCAACACAGACAGATGAGAGATGTAAGTAATATATTTAATAAACATCAAAATAGATACTAATACACATTTTTCAAGAATGAGGAGCATTGTCCTTATAAAATAATGCCAGCTTGTACAACATGTCTCTCATATATGGAATATCAGGCAAGATTCTTTGTACAAACAATTCACAATGCGTATAGACAATGAACTCACTAAAGTCACATCCTGTGATCATCAACTGTCCTTGAACTTGGGCATAATATTCATGACTTTGCTTTAGGTTAATTTTCCCATTATTTTTTTCCAAGCAAAATCCGTTGATTTTGTCACACGCTTCTGAAATTGTCATGTTTCTTGCTGAAAATGGACATTTTATTTCTGCTACTCCACACTGACCATCACAGCACAACTTTCCATTAGGGGAAGCACCAAGAAATGAAAGTTCTTCATTGATGACTAGTCCGCATTCATGAAAATGTGATGAAGGAAATTGTTTCAAATATTTTCTTTTCCCGCTAACCTCTGTTTTTCTCCCGTATTCTAATGGTGCCGCATTAACATATTTGGTACCAAAGATCGAGTCCACAAATGACTGATTCGGTTTAGCTTTCCTCTTCAGTATTTTGCCAAAGTTTGAAGATGTTATCCTTGATTTTCTTGCCTCAATCCAGAGTTTTGAATTTGACTGCGCTCTGGTTTCCCTTTCAATTTCTATGATGTAATCTTGGTTAACACTGTGGTCTTGATTTAGTTCTTGTGACACAGGTATCTCCACATCCATCAGGTGATACTTGTACTTGTGGTTTCTTTAAGTTTCTTGTCTGTATTGTCTGTAAATTGTAAATACATATAATTTATTTTGATTATAAAATGATACATAAGTATTATACATGAACTTGTAAATTACATGTACATACCACTAATTCTGAATGAAATGCATGTTATCATGTTGATCAAATGCATTTATTGTGGTTATTATTTTTTCAGGGATCTCGCCTTTAGATCTACTTTCTGTCACAACAGAGCTTCATGAACTTCGGGCAGTAGTAAAAAGCCAAGAAAAAAATATTGAGGAGTTGCAACAACTTAACAAGAAAACAAAGGAACAGGGTTTTGGGGTAAAACAAGTACTGGAGAAGGAAGACAACCTCAAAATTGTTTTCAAATACTATACAGGAATAGTGCATGTACGGTTTTTAGCACTGCTCAGCTTCGTTGTTCCCCCAGGATACAAGATACCTTATCAAAATTGGATGCCGACGCTTTGTTTTTAAGTTTGTGTCGTTTGCGTCACAATTTCGGTCTGAAAGATATTGCAATGAGGTTTGGACTCAGTGTACAATCTGCTGGTGTTGTGTTTAATACATGGATAGCTCATATGTATTTTAAGTTGGGACAGTTGTCAATATGGCCTCATGGAGACACAATCATCGAAAACAGGCCCAAGGAATTCAGGAAAGACTATCCTACAACCCTGATGATTATTGATGGGACAGAACTAAGAACCCAAACTCCTTCTGCCCTTGGACTTCAAAGTCAAATGTACAGTGACTATAAATCTTGCAACACCTTAAAAGGATTAATTGGATGTGACCCAAATGGTAATGTAATGTTTGTGTCAGAGTTACATTCAGGTGCCATTTCTGACAAGGCTATTGCAGAAGAAAGTGGATTTTATGAAGTCTTAAAGGACATGAAAAAACATGGCTACATGGAAGATGATGACTCTATCATGGCAGACAAGGGATTCACTATTGATAATAACTAAAAAAACTGGGACTGAGGTTAAATATTCCACCTTTTGCCAAGACTGGTACACAAATGAGTCCTACAGAAATCAGTGAAACCCAAAAAATTGCTAAACACAGGGTGCATATTGAGAGACTCATAGCAAAAGTAAAAACTTTCAAAATGGTTTCACACAGAGTGCCGACAAGTCTATTTCCAAAAATTAATGAAATTTGGTCTGTATGTTATCTTCTGACTGTTTTCCAGGATGTTTTTGTCAAAGACAAACAATGAAAGTACTAACATTTTTCCCATACATATTGCCAAAACTACAAGAGTTTTGTTATTATTACATATGCCATCCTGGTAATATAAAGAAAACTATATTACACTTGTGAATAACAATAAACTTACCTGGTATGAGAGAATGGATCCCAAAGGAAGTTGTCCAAATACTGCTGTAGTTGCTTTTGGAGCAGAATTCAGCATAAGATGCTGGAGTGGTGTTTCTTTTAATGCTGCCAGTTTTGATTCATCTGAAGTAGTGACTTCTGGTAATCTGGAGAAAACAATAAGTGCTAAGTATTTTCTGATATACATGTTGTGCTGTTGTCATTTACATGTTGATAAACAGATTTATGGCAAATTAAAAAGCTATTTTTATGCAATTTATGTATTTTCTTTAAATATGAATACATGTACTAAGCATAATGTCATCAGGGTGTAATAATATCTGACATTAAGAGTACATTTGTTTGCATTACTTTAATGATACCAACGTGAGACAAACCAGAACTTAATCTCTTCCTGAAATATGCAAAGAAATATAGGTAGTCTTCCAAGATTTTCTGATTGCCTGGTTCATCACCCAATAAACAGACAAGGTCAAGATGATCATTATTGTTAGGCAGAGTCTGAGCTATATAGTCCTTTATTTATGTTGTAATACCTATAGTTTTCATCAACTCCACATGTCAGGGGTTTTCTTTTCCTCACTTCCTTAGGTCTGGCTACTAAAATGTGATTCAGAGGAACAGGCTCTATTTTTGTTCCCCGAGGAACATGCCATTGCTGAGGCACACTGGTGCAGCTCTGCTGGTCCAGAACACATGAGAAATTGTGCAGTTTAAATCCTTGAAGACATTTTAGAAGACCAACTAAGTGAGAACACTGGCCATTTAATCTGAAAATTGGAGAGAAATAAATCAGTATGTAAATAACTTACTATGACAACTGAAAAGTTAATTCAACTGGGAAAAATCGAAAAATAGATCTTTTAAAAAAAGAAATCTGGATTAAGAGAACAAAATATAGCAACAATCTTCCTCACAATCGATGGCGTTTACATGTGGCTGTTGATTCGATATTCTAGGACTTTCCAGCTATCGACAACTGGCGGGCAAACTCATATCACTGGGTTTTAAGAGATGCATGTTTATCTATCGTCGTAATTTTTTTTACTGGTCTCCGTTGAAATCTTTCTATTGTTCACATTTTACCACTGGCCTGGTTAAAAAAGTTGATCCCGACAAATCCCAGCCCTGCATCTCTCCCCTCCCCGACCCCCCGAAATATTATTGGAAATTGAATTTAGGAACGATAACTCTAGATTTCCATGAGATATATATGTTAAATCTGGAGAAAATGGGAAATAGCGGATGAATTGTTCTTTACTTGTCTGCAAAGCAGACTACCGTGGAACATCGCAAAACATTTAATGAAGCCACGACCTGTAGGACATTGGTCAAGCTGCTAAGTTTATCATCATCATCATCAATCTGGCGTGATGGGGAGTTGAGAAGGGAATTCCCCTATTGCTTCACAGTCCACAAAACTCTTGTTATCAACGCACATATCGATGGACTACACCAGTGTCTTCAGTGTGAGGCGCTTCCAAAAAATCTCAACCCGGAAATTAGTGTACAAACCGTGTCACAACAAACAAGACTGTGAGTGTTTACATTTAACAGCTGCTGAGGCATTAGCCATTGTTACCGAGAATGTAGACGCTTTTTTTCCAGAAACCTTGCTTCAGTGATTGACTTTTCTTCATATTTATACAATGAATTCCCAAATGCCGGAGGTTGTCGACGGGAACGGAGAAAGTTTGGGTCTTCCTGATCACTTCCTCAATATTCCCTTGACAGCACTTCGCTATTCCGTTAGGAGAGTTGTCGCTCTCCACCTCAACAATCCCTCAGACGTTGTGGACGAAGAGACAGGATACGTCAATGACTACAATGGTTTGGCCGAGTTTGTCGGATTTACTTACTTGGAAATAAAACATTTCGGAAGACAAAAAAGCCCGACTAAGGAATTATTGGAAGAATGGGAAACAAGGGACGATCTAGCGCCGTCAACCATCGGCAAACTTTGGGAGGGACTGTATATTCTCAACAGATTCGATATCATGAAGGATTGTCAATTGGCTATAGGTAAACGAAACCTATTAGTATATATTATAGAATTATCTATATGTCTCTCGGTTAAAAAAAAACAAAAACAAAAAAACTTGAGAGGTCTCCAACAATTTTAAGACTGATATAAAGCATCCTTTCAGTATTTATATTTTGTACAAGTAATTTGTGAAATTTGATTTGTTTTAAAATAATAAAAACCTACAGATGGGTATGTTTTCTCCCCCATTTTTCACATAAATATAGACATTCAATTGTCTCTCTGTAGTTGTTGGAGCGTGAAGCTTTCTTTAGACTTAGGATCTATATTTGAAGACATCCACAATACACACACATCCCGGTTAAAGTCCTAACAGGTATCAAATCTGGGTTTTCGGTGTCAGTCCTTGGCTCCACCATCTGGGTCCAAACAGCATACTCTGCTACCTGAGTGACAGAAATTATGTTTATTTGTACATACCAAAGTGGCAAGTATAGATCAGCCAGACACCAGGCTGACAGTATATGATTGGTTCTGACAAATGATTATCAAACAATCTTGTTGTACTTTTATTAATGTATTATTTAACCCCATTCATGAAAGGTCGTATTGTATTTGTTGTTGATATGAATGTAGTTTGTGTTACACATACAAGTATTTCTAAGGATGATTTCAACAAAACATTGACATGGCATTTAGCTCCTGGTCAGCATGGTGCCAAAATCTAATTCTGTGAATACCGTCATATTATCATTAATGTCATGATAGATTGTAACTTAAGATCTAGAAAATTCTTGGTATGATATGTGGTAAAATATTGGAGGCTATTTATGTTGCACAGAAAAACAATAAACAACCTTTTTTTTGCCTAATTTCAGTGAAAGATGTTGAGTCATACCTGAAAAACAAAGAAAGAGAGAAGGACCTGATACAACCTCTCCAGAGCAATGATGGTACGAAGCACTGCAACACTGCAGTTTGACAGGGTTTATTTTTTGGTAGATTTATAATTCAACTCCGCTTGATAATTAACAGTTATATTTGATGTTTGTTCTAGTTGTTTGTGGTGTAAACCAAATGTGAGTATAAAACACCACAACAATAATTTGAAGAAACAAAAAATCCTAATCACAGGGAGAGGATACTAGAGATTAAAATTTTACTCTCTTAAAAATTTTGTTTCTTTTCATACAGTAAAATTAGAGAACAACATGTGTTGTGAAAATAACATTTTAAAGACTGATAGTGACCTTAAAATGAAATATGGGATATGATTAAAAATTCTGTAATTATTGACAAATGCATTTAAAAATTGAAAAACTTCGAAATAAGTAGGATAAAAACCTACATCAAATGGAAAGAATGCAGCTACTGTGTGCTGCCATTCCATTTTTTTCTTTCTTAAAAAATAAATTTATTTTTCCCTCATAAAGGAATTTATTGTTAAATGTGGATTATATTTATAGAATTATAAAGGAACTAACTGTACAGTCTAAATACTATATCATTATAGTTGATTATTTTACAAAGGGAGACAAATCATAAACCATTGCTCAATTTTGTTTGAAATCTTTTTCAGTATCACAAAGTTCAGACCATCAAGTAGAAGAAATAAAAATATTATGTAAACAGGATGGTAAGTACTTTTAGAAGTTCTGGAGAAGATGGTGTGTGAATCTTTAGAGCTAGAGAAGATGGTGTGTGATTGTGTGTAGGTCTAGAGGGATGGTAAGTGATGTGTGTAGATCTAGAAGGATGGTGAGTGATTGGGTGTAGATCTTGGCTTGTAATAAATAAAAATATGAATATGATAAATACAAGCATTGAGCTGCATTGAGTTGACATTCATATGCATTATGAACAAAAACAGTATAAAGAGAAATTCACCAGGAAGTACTGACATGCTTCTTTTCGGTTGGAATTCATATTGCCCATGAATGCCATCCAGAAACATTTCAGTACTTGAATTGATTTAAGAGGTAGATATCATTCATTTCTGTATAAAGATTGAATCTATAGCTGTAAAAATAGAAATACGACATTGTAACCCATGGTTGTTTTTTTCTCCTGAGCTGTTGTGTTTGTTCTACCCACAAACCTGACTATTTTTAAAGATGTTTATAGATAGGTCTGTTTATGAATACATTAGTTATTTTTCTGTTGTGTTACAATGCTAAAAATGTAGCTTGTGTATGGTAATGCTAATTTTGTAGTTGAAAACAACACTCCCCAGTTCTTCGATGCCTTTGTATCGTACAACCATGACGGAAAGGATCTCAGTTTTGTGAAGAATATGATACAGATCCTGGAAGGTGAACCCCACAAGCTGAAACTCTTCATTCCAGGCAGAGACGACCTGCCAGGGGCAGCGAGATATGTGATAGAGGCAAAGCTCATTGAGTCACGGTAAATTTGTAGGGATCAATTGTAGACTGTTGTAGTCCCAAGGCTTATCATTGAGTAAGGGTTTGACATAACTGATAAATTACTTTATAAATGTAAATTATAGGGCCCAGAGGCATTGAACCATTGTTATTGGGCACAATATACATTTATATTATAGTTGATTTTGGCACAACATGAAAATAATTTCCGGTGTGATCCCGAAATGTCAACTGATTTTGAGTATCGATATTAAAGGAATCGGGAATCCCGAGTGAGGACAACCAGATTTCTGTACCATAAATCAGTACTAAATCATCATGTTTACACTGGTATAAACCCATATTAAGTAAAACAGGGGTAACCCAACTGTGTTTGATATTTGTGATTACACTGCAACAAATACTGCTAACCATCTCTACTACGCTACACCAATAAATCTTAATTTGCAACAGTGTAATCTCAATATGTAACCAACAGCAATTTCAAAAAACACTGTAGGGTTATCCCCTAAATAGATGTAGTGAAATGCTATGGACAAATGAGTTTAATGTTTGCTGGTACTTGCCTAATAATCAGTGTTTTGTCAGTATTTTATCAGAACTTGTTCCTGTAAGAATGACTTTGTTTGATATTCTTACAGGTGTCGCAGGATGGTCATTATTCTCTCCAATGATTATCTACAGAGCAGTGCTTGTGACTTCCAGTCTAAATTTGCTCATGCCCTGTCCCCAGGTAAGTATCAACTGCAATAATATGTCTAGTACTTGGTATTATGGGATGTCTGTAACTTATAAACTTATCAATGAATTCTAGATAGGTTCGTATCTAGTAGTGCAAGCTTTGTATCTAGTTGTATTTTATACAGTAGTGAGGGTACTGTTTCAGTGAGAGGTCTGTGTCTAGTTGTATCTTATACAGTAGTGAGGGTACTGTTTCAGTGAGAGGTATGTATCTAGTTGTATCTTATACAGTAGTGAGGGTACTGTTTCAGTGAGAACTCTGTATCTAGTAGTATCTTATACAGTAGTGAGGGTACTGTTTCAGTGAGAACTCTGTATCTAGTATCTTATACAGTAGTGAGGGTACTGTTTCAGTGAGAGGTCTGTATCTAGTTGTATCTTATACAGTAGTGAGGGTACTGTTTCAGTGAGAGGTATGTATCTAGTATCTTATACAGTAGTGAGGGTACTGTTTCAGTGAGAGGTATGTATCTAGTATCTTATACAGTAGTAAGGGTATTGTTTCAGTGAGAGGTATGTATCTAGTATCTTATACAGTAGTGAGGGTACTGTTTCAGTGAGAACTCTGTATCTACTATCTTATACAGTAGTGAGGGTACTGTTTCAGTGAGAGGTGTGTATCTAGTTGTATCTTATACAGTAGTGAGGGTACTGTTTCAGTGAGAGGTATGTATCTAGTTGTATCTTATACAGTAGTGAGGGTACTGTTTCAGTGAGAGGTCTGTATCTAGTATCTTATACAGTAGTGAGGGTACTGTTTCAGTGAGAGGTATGTATCTAGTTGTATCTTATACAGTAGTGAGGGTACTGTTTCAGTGAGAGGGGGCATCAAGGCTCCTCAGTGATATATTAGCTTGTTACTTTAAAATCTTTCAAAATGTAACTTTTCTGTGTTATTTTATAAAGGGTGTCATAGATTTCTTTTTCATTTTACTGTAAAAGAGATTTTTGAAGCTTGTCTCAGTTTTAATGGTTGCTTACCAAGACTTGAAAAAAATAAAAGCTACTACTCGTTTGAGATCCTATATGTATCTGATGATATAATCAAGAGTTTTGTTTCATTGTTATTTGAAGGTGCTCGTAGCAAGAAACTTATTCCTGTCATCATAGAACCGATGGTACAGATCCCACAGATTCTTCGTCATGTGACATTGTGTGACTACACCAAAGTCGACTTGCAGGAGTGGTTTTGGAGTCGTCTGTCTTCTGCCATCAAACAGCCACTTGACCCAGTCACTAGTGGTTGGGGTCAAGGATCTCTGACATCATCAGGATCAATGTCTTCGTTAGCATCGTCGCCAGATAGTGGCATTGAGCACTCGATGTCATCTAGTTCTGAGATTAAAATGGAGATATCTTGCAACACCTATGATGATGTAAAGTCAGACTGGGTTGACCTAAGTAATGATTTCTCTCTAGATGAATCACAGATGTCACCCCCATCAGGAGTCTCTTCATCTGCACCAACCCCTTCCTTCATTCCATCTGCTAAACAGGATGAAAAGGCTGAAACCTGCTACAAATCGCAATCATCGGCATCCAGTTCTTTGGGATCTTCTGTTCGAGTGAAGAAGCCAGACCTGAAAAGAAGAATATTTGAACAAATTGGGAAATTTACAAGTGCAACGTTTAGAGGATCAAGTAGCTCATCTGTCAAAGACCACTCTTCCCAATAACATAAAACAATGGTGTAAAACAGCCTTATTCTCCGAGTGTTTGCTGATAAATTACATTTGTCTCAGGTGACCTATTGTGATCTCCTTTTGTCTGCCGTTGTGCATTGTAAACAATTTACGTTTTTGACTCAGTGTCATGGCGGTAAGCCAGCAGCATAAAGGGATGAAAGGCTACCAAGTTTATTCAAATGAATGACCTTGACCTATTTTCAAAGTCACAGGGTTCAAATATGCTAACAACAGACAGTGTCATCAGCTCTGTTAAATAGAAAGTTGAGCCTTTCAACTTTGAAACAATTAAAACTTTGTAAGCATATATATATCAGTTCTGTTCTGTCTGCCCCAATGATGGGACTGATGGACAGGTTCTAAAACTGTCTAAAGACCTGAAGACCTCAGGTGACCATTAAGGCCCATGGGCCTGTTGTTAATAAGAAAACTCTCTGTGATGACACAAGGAACAAATGGCTTAGATTTACAGAAATGGTAAAAAATAATGGCTGCCTTAATTTTTTCACAAATTTGTAATTTTAGAATGTTATTTGTGATAAAGTCAATTATATGTTTGTTACAATTGATGCCTTGTTAGATGTCAACATGGTTTATAAAGAGTCTGAATAGACTGTTTCGTGTATGGACTTGTGATGGAGATTACTGTCCTTGTGATACACACGACTCTGTTGTATATTTATCTCTAGCCCGATAAGATGACATTGTTTAGTCTATGATTGATAAGCTGATAGCCATGCAGTATATTTTCTACAGTAAACCAGACTTATACCTATTGGCTGATATTGGTTGGTTGCCTTATATGGTATTTAGATTATGGCCAGTTCTTGGATCTAATTCACGACGCAAATGGAAGGCATTTATTTTATAAACACTTCATGTGTATTATCACTATTTAATTTTAGTAATACATGTTGGTTGATCATCTTTTCTTTAATAGGTATTTTTTTTCATATCACACACCATTCATTTCATCACATAATCACAGAATACTTAATGGTGTATGAGAATCCATTTTCTTTATTGTATCGGTAACTCTCCTGGACAAGGTCTATTCAATGTGATGATATTATCATGTTTATATGTATATTATAATAGTAACATGAGTATTACATACCAGTGTCACGATTGACAACAGCAATATTTAAAACTGATAACAACTTTACTTATATAGATGAATCATGACCAGGTCTTATCACATTTTGATCTGAAACACTGATGCTCATAAAATCCACTGTCAACATCTTGATTTGAATCGGAAATATGGTGAAGGGTTCTGTCTGCACCCCTAGGTGTAGCCTCAATAGATATTTAATAACTAACTTGATAGAGATGTCTGTGTTTTATAGAGAGGTCTGTGTCACATAAATGCTTGTTCTTTACAGATGTCTTTGTTTTATAGAGAGGTCTGTGTCAAATAAATGCTTGCTCTTTACAGATGTCTGTGTTTTATAGAGAGGTCTGTGTTACATAAATGCTTGCTCTTTACCGATGTCGATGTTTTATAGAAAGGTCCGTGTTACATAAATGCTTGCTCTTTACATATGTCTATGTGTTTATTAAGATGTCTGTATGTTTATACAGATGCCAGTGTATTTATACAGATGTCTGTATGTTTATACAGATGTCTGTGTATTATACAGATGTCTGTGTTTTATACAGATATCTTTGTTTATACAGATATCTGTGTTTATACAGATGTCTGTGTTTTATACAGATGTCTGTGTATTATACAGATGTCTGTGTTTTTATACAGATGTCTGTGTTTTATATAGATATCTGTGTTTATACAGATGTCTTTGTGTTTATTAAGATGTCTGTGTGTTTTATACAGATGTCTGTATGTTTATACAGATGTCTGTGTTTTATACAAATGTCTGTGTATTATACAGATATCTGCATGTTTATACAGAAATCTGCATGTTTGTACAGATGTTTGTGTTTCATATAGATATCTGTGTTTATACAGATGTCTTTGTGTTTATACAGATGTCTGCATGTTTATACAGAAATCTGCACGTTTGTACAGATGTTTGTGTTTTATACAGATGTTGTCTGTGTTAGGTAGATGCTTGTCTTATTTACAGGTTGGTTATACAAAGATGTCTGTGTTAAGTAGATGCTTGTCTTATTTACAGGTTGGTAATACAAAGATGTCTGTGTTAGGTAGATGCTTGTCTTATTTACAGGTTGGTTATACAAAGATGTCTGTGTTAAGTAGATGCTTGTCTTATTTACAGGTTGGTTATACAAAGATGTCTGTGTTAAGAAGATGCTTGTCTTATTTACAGGTTGGTTATACAAAGATGTCTGTGTTAAGAAGATGCTTGTCTTATTTACAGGTTGGTTATACAAAGATGTCTGTGTTAAGAAGATGCTTGTCTTTTTTACAGGTTGGTTTTACAAAGATGTCAGTGTTTTTATGTAATCTGGTTTCTGTTTCTTGTATAAATAATTATTTCCAATCTCTTTATGATCCTAATAACTGTCTTTTAATTATATACATGGATTGACATCAGGGGCTTCTGTTTCAGAATAATACATATTTTTTTGTAATAAATTACCGTATTATCAAAAGGTATCTGGATTTGTTCTGGACTGAAAGCCTGTATGAGGTATATATTTGTCCTGGGCTGAAACCCTGTATGAAGTGTATATTTGTCCTGGGCTGAAACCCTGTATGAAGTGTATATTTGTCCTGGGCTGAAACCCTGTATGAAGTGTATATTTGTCCTGGGCTGAAACCCTGTATGAAGTGTATATTTGTCCTGGGCTGAAACCCTGTATGAAGTGTATATGAAACCCTGTATGAAGTGTATATTTGTCCTGGGCTGAAACCCTGTATGAAGTGTATATTTGTCCTGGGCTGAAACCCTGTATGAAGTATATATTTGTTCTGGGCTGAAAGCATGACTGTGACAAGAAAGATTACACGATGTAGCTGGTCCAAAAGTTTCTGTTGTAGAGATAGAGTTTTTGTTTGTGCTTGACAATGAGGCTGCTGAGGCAGTGATTTCTTTGTAGGGCCAAGTAGATGTGAACAACAATATTGTCTAAAGATTTTTTCTTTCCTGTGATTTGTTGGGGTATAGTTCTAGCAAAGTAACTAAATTCATGTCTTGATCCATATAATTTGCTTATCTAGGCTATGAATTTGATCAGACTAAGTCACTATGGCACACTTTTCAGGGGTAAGATCTGTCATACCTATACTGATTGAATTATTCACCAGAATCAGTTGTCCCAGAGGGTCATAGTCGGCAGAAAGCTGAAATCACTATAGACAGAGGTTAGCACAGCATTTACTTTGTCGTAAATACAGAAGATTCACAAAATCACTACAGCAACCACGTACCTAGAGTTATGTCACAACAATGACTGTACCCTCAGTACAGTCACATCAACATCATTGACCATGTACTCACAGTATAGTCACATCATTGACCATGTACCCACAGTATAGTCACATCATTGACCATGTACCCACAGTATAGTCACATCACTGACCATGTACCCACAGTACAGTCACATCACTGACCATGCACCCACAGTATGGTCACATCATTGACCATGTACCCACAGTACAGTCACATCATTGACCATGTACTCACAGTACAGTCACATCATTGACCATGTACCCACAGTACAGTCACATCATTGACCATGTACTCACAGTACAGTCACATCATTGACCATGTACCCACAGTATAGTGACATCACTGACCATGTACTCACAGTACAGTCACATCACTGACCATGTACTCACAGTACAGTCACATCACTGACCATGTACTCACAGTACAGTCACATCACTGACCATGTACTCACAGTACAGTCACATCACTGACCATGTACTCACAGTACAGTCACATCACTGACCATGTACTCACAGTACAGTAACATCACTGACCATGTACTCACAGTATAGTCACATCACTGACCATGTACCCTCAGTATAGTCTCATCACTGACCATGTACTCACAGTACAGTCACATCATTGACCATGTTCCCACAGTATAGTCACATCACTGACCATGTACCCTCAGTACAGTCACATCATTGACCATGTACTCACAGTACAGTCACATCATTGACCATGTACTCACAGTACAGTCACATCACTGACCATGTACTCACAGTACAGTCACATCACTGACCATGTACTCACAGTACAGTCACATCACTGACCATGTACTCACAGTACAGTCACATCACTGACCATGTACTCACAGTACAGTAACATCATTGACCATGTACTCACAGTACAGTCACATCATTGACCATGTACCCACAGTACAGTGACATCACTGACCATGTACTCACAGTACAGTGACATCACTGACCATGTACCCACAGTATAGTCACATCATTGACCATGTACCCTCAGTATAGTGACATCACTGACCATGTACTCACAGTATAGTCACATCATTGACCATGTTCCCACAGTACAGTGACATCACTGACCATGTACTCACAGTACAGTAACATCATTGACCATGTTCCCACAGTATAGTCACATCACTGACCATGTACCCTCAGTACAGTCACATCATTGACCATGTACTCACAGTACAGTCACATCATTGACCATGTACTCACAGTACAGTCACATCACTGACCATGTACCCACAGTACAGTAACATCATTGACCATGTACTCACAGTACAGTCACATCACTGACCATGTACCCTCAGTATAGTCGCATCATTGACCATGTTCCCACAGTACAGTCACATCATTGACCATGTACCCTCAGTATAGTCGCATCATTGACCATGTACTTACAGTACAGTCACATCATTGACCATGTACCCACAGTATAGTGACATCATTGACCATGTACTCACAGTACAGTCACATCATTGACCATGTACTCACAGTACAGTCACATCATTGACCATGTACCCACAGTATAGTGACATCATTGACCATGTACTCACAGTACAGTCACATCACTGACCATGTACCCTCAGTATAGTGACATCATTGACCATGTACTCACAGTACAGTCACATCATTGACCATGTACTCACAGTACAGTCACATCATTGACCATGTACCCACAGTATAGTGACATCATTGACCATGTACTCACAGTACAGTCACATCATTGACCATGTACTCACAGTACAGTCACATCACTGACCATGTACCCTCAGTATAGTGACATCATTGACCATGTACTCACAGTACAGTCACATCATTGACCATGTACCCACAGTATAGTGACATCATTGACCATGTACTCACAGTACAGTCACATCATTGACCATGTACCCACAGTATAGTAACATCATTGACCATGTACTTACAGTACAGTGACATCACTGACCATGTACCCACAGTACAGTCACATCATTGACCATGTACTCACAGTACAGTCACATCATTGACCATGTACCCACAGTACAGTCACATCACTGACCATGTACTCACAGTACAGTCACATCACTGACCATGTACTCACAGTACAGTCACATCATTGACCATGTACCCACAGTATAGCCACATCACTGACCATGTACCCTCAGTATAGTCTCATCACTGACCATGTACTCACAGTACAGTAACATCACTGACCATGTACTCACAGTACAGTCACATCACTGACCATGTACCCACAGTACAGTCACATCATTGACCATGTACCCACAGTATAGCCACATCACTGACCATGTACCCTCAGTATAGTGACATCACTGACCATGTACTCACAGTACAGTCACATCATTGACCATGTTCCCACAGTATAGTCACATCACTGACCATGTACCCACAGTACAGTAACATCATTGACCATGTACTCACAGTACAGTAACATCATTGACCATGTACCCTCAGTATAGTCACATCATTGACCATGTTCCCACAGTACAGTGACATCACTGACCATGTACTCACAGTACAGTGACATCACTGACCATGTACCCACAGTATAGTCACATCATTGACCATGTACCCTCAGTATAGTCACATCATTGACCATGTACTCACAGTACAGTAACATCATTGACCATGTTCCCACAGTATAGCCACATCACTGAACTTAAATGCATGCGTACAAGATAGCTCAATAACCCCTCTCTACATTAACTTATGAATACATTTAAAACAAGATAATGATCCTACTGACTGAGTTTTTATCATAATACACACTGACCTGACATAGATGCAAACTTTTGTAATTCTAGCCTTTGTTTCAGAAATGATTTCATATTTTACTAACTAGAACCATGATTTAAAACATTTTAGAATGGCATATTACATTTATATTTATATTTTATTGAATATTGTCTCTCTCTAGCCTGTACATACATGTACATATGCATATATATTGCATATATATTCTCCAAGACATAAATAAAGCCAGAAAACTATTATGATTGTAGTTTGTAATTTATAGCTTGGTTTAGCACACAGCAATATGTATTATAAGCATATTTATTTTCAGATTGTGATATTTTTATCTTATAATATGAATTTCTTGATTTTTTTTTTAATAATCCTGCCAATGTTACAGTTGATAAAGTAGTGACAGGGTGCTGAAAGAGTGAGATGATATATTTTTTTTCTCTAGAATATCTGGATGAATCATTCAGCATAAAGGAGTTAACAAGGTTAAGGTTTAAAGGGTCTAGAACTATCAGTATTAGAAATGTGGTCATGGAAAAACCAGTCATGTGTAACGTCAACCTGGAACCAGCTTGAATGTCTCAAAAGCAAATGAAAACGTTATTGGCAACACAAAGTTCTACAGCCATTCAGAGGAGAAGCCTTTGCTGTGTCTAAGGTGTGCTTGCATGTGAGAGTGAAAACTATCAATAAAATCCGATGTGTTAAGGTTCTGTGTCCCATACCGGGTATCTATTGAAAGTTATTTTCATCGGGAGTTTGAAGAATAAAGAAAATGTAAGGAAAAAGTCATTGGAAGAGGAGACAAGTGTATTATCACAGAAAAAAAACAAAAAAGTAAATGGAACAAGTACTTCCTGTATATATCTGTCAACAGAACAGCTACTTCCTGTACTGATCTATAAACAAAACAGCTACTTCCTGTACAGATCTGTAAACAGAACAGCTGCTTCCTGTACATATCTGTAAACAGAACAGCCACTTCCTGTACAGATCTATAAACAGAACAGCTACTTCCTGTACTGATCTATAAACAGAACAGCTACTTCCTATACTGATCCGTAAACAGACAACCACTTGTTAAACTGATCTGTAAACAGAACAGCCACTTCCTGTACAGAATTGTAAAAAGAACAGCTACTTCCTGTACAGATCTGTGAACAGAACAGTCACTTCCTGTACAGATCTGTAAACAGAACATCTACTTCCTGTACATATCTGTAAACAGAACAGCCACTTTCTGTACATATCTGTAAACAGAACAGCTGCTTCCTGTACATATATGTAAACAGAACAGCTACTTCCTGTCCAGATCTGTAAACAAAGCAGCTACTTCCTGTACAGATCTGTAAACAGAACATCTACTTTATAGAGATCGGTAAATATAACAGCCATTTCCTGTACTGATCTGTAGACAGAACAGCTACTTCCTACACATATCTCTAAACAGAGCAGCCACTTTCTATACAGATTGGTAAACAGAACAACCACTTCATGTACAAAAACAGAACCTATTCAGTCGTATTCGGGATCATTAAGAAAACTCACGTAACGTAAGAAAAAAACACGAATATACTATTTCACAATTCATCGCCATTTATTTATTCATTTAACGGGTTTTTATGTCCATTATTACGGCTTTTCAGCGATCAAATACTTTCATTGGCAAGTTAAGCAGTGTTTTATAGTGACCACGCGATCTTACAGTACAACAGATATCAGTACAACAATAACAAAACATGTAGAATTCAAACAAAAGAAGGGAGGTGTCGACAAGGGGTGGAGGGGGGTTAATAGAGTAGAAAGTCTGTATTTGGTCATCAAAAGATTTGGATCCAATGACAATAATAAAGGAACCTAGATTGAGGATCAGATAATGTGTGGATATAGACCCATATTTTTCTCATACGATCTTGTCTACAGTTATTGTATATAGGACGGACACGAGAAACTTATGCCTACTATCTTCTACCAAATTTGCATTGGAATCACACTGTAACGTAAATCATTTTTATGAAGAGCGTTGAGTCTCCACCTACCCCTGCCAGTTTGTGTTTCTCAGAGAGCTGATGAGAGAAGGACCCTTCATTGTTGTCATGGTAATGTCTTTCGGTAAGGCAATCCGCCCGATTTACTCTAGATGATATGTGACAGGCCTTTGAGTAGGTTATGTCTGAGGTAGCCACCCACCACTTGACGTAAACCCCGCCATAAAGATGTTCCTGAGTCTACACGATGAAATAAACCCATCAAGCATATATTTCATTAGAACATCTGAACGATTATTTCAGAAAGTAGAAGACATGCTTTAAAACCGGAACTCGAGGAGTAAAGATAATATTTCAGTAACAACGTCAGGATTCTTAAAAACCAAGTCGGAAATTATTATTAACTTTTCCCGACACGTCATCATTGTAGACTTCCCCTGACACGTCATCATTGTAGACTTCCCCTGACACGTCATCATTGTAGACCTTCTCTAACACGTCATCATTGTAGACTTCCCCTGACACGTCATCATTGTAGACTTCCCCTGACACGTCATCATTGTAGACTTCCACTGACACGTCATCATTGTAGACTTCCCCTGACACGTCATCATTGTAGACTTTTCCCTGACACGTCATCATTTTAGACTTCCCCTGACACGTCATCATTGTAGACTTCCCCTGACACGTCATCATTGTAGACACACGTCATCATTGTAGACTTCCCTTGACACGTCATCATTGTAGACTTCCCCTGACACGTTGACACGTCATCATTTGACACGTCATCATTGTAGACTTCCCCTGACACGTCATCATTGTAGACTTTCTCTAACACGTCATCATTGTAGACTTCCCCTGACACGTCATCATTGTAGACTTCCCCTGACACGTCATCATTGTAGACTTTCTCTGACACGTCATCATTGTAGACTTCCCCTGACACGTCATCATTGTAGACTTCCCTTGACACGTCATCATTGTAGACTTCCCCTGACACGTCATCATTGTAGACTTCCCCTGACACGTCATCATTTTAGACTTTCTCTGACACGTCATCATTGTAGACTTTCTCTGACACGTCATCATTGTAGACTTCCCCTGACACGTCATCATTGTAGACCTGACACGTCATCATTGTGACACGTCATCATTGTAGACTTCCCCTGACACGTCATCATTGTAGACTTCCCCTGACACGTCATCATTGTAGACTTCCCTTGACACGTCATCATTGTAGACTTCCCCTGACACGTCATCAATGTAGACCTTCTCTGACACGTCATCGTTGTAGACTTTCTCTGACACGTCATCAATGTAGACTTCCCCTGACACGTCATCATTGTAGACTTTCTCTGACACGTCATCATTGTAGACTTCCCCTGACACGTCATCATTGTAGACTTTCTCTAACACGTCATCATTGTAGACTTCCCCTGACACGTCATCATTGTAGACTTCCCCTGACACGTCATCATTGTAGACTTTACTCTGACACGTCATCATTATAGACTTCCCCTGACAGGTCATCATTGTAGACTTCCCCTGACACGTCATCAATGTAGACTTTCTCTGACATGTCATCATTGTAGACCTTCTCTGACACGTCATCATTTTAATTTTTCCCTTTACACGTCATCATTGTAGACCTTCTCTGACACGTCATCATTGTAGACTTTCTCTGACACGTCATCATTGTAGACTTCCCCTGACACGTCATCATTGTAGACTTTCTCTGACACGTCATCATTGTAGACTTCCCCTGACACGTCATCATTGTAGACTTCCCTTGACACGGTATCATTGTAGACTTCCCTTGACACGTCATCATTGTAGACTTCCCCTGACACGTCATCATTGTAGACGTCATCATTGTAGACTTCTCTAACACGTCATCATTGTAGACTTTCTCTAACACGTCATCATTGTAGACTTCCCCTGACACGTCATCATTGTAGACTTCCCCTGACACGTCATCATTGTAGACTTCCCCTGACACGTCATCATTGTAGACTTTCTCTAACACGTCATCATTGTAGACTTCCCCTGACACGTCATCATTGTAGACTTTCTCTAACACGTCATCATTGTAGACTTCCCCTGACACGTCATCATTGTAGACTTCCCCTGACACGTCATCATTGTAGACTTCTCTGACACGTCATCATTGTAGACTTCCCCTGACACGTCATCATTGTAGACTTCCCCTGACACGTCATCATTGTAGACTTCCCCTGACACGTCATCATTGTAGACTTTCTCTAACACGTCATCATTGTAGACTTCCCCTGACACGTCATCATTGTAGACTTCCCCTGATATGTCATCATTGTAGACCTTCACTTACACGTCATCATTGTAGACTTTCTCTAACACGTCATCATTGTAGACCTCTGAAAATTAAACCAGTACGATCACGATTTAGAATTAACCTCTGCCCTCTCTGGACCTACTGTCCACACGTGGGATCCCCGATCTTGCCCCAGGTTAATTGAATTATGAGCTTGACTAAGGAATTTGTTGTCGTGTCTATATCTTCTTCCTTGTTAATGTATTGTGGCTATAGTAACAGACATCTTCACTAAAAAGTATTTATGATCTGAAGAACATTAGGATTTCCACTAGATACTAATCTCCGAATAGGACAATCTCGGAACGTCGCGTTACCTTGACACCCTCCAAGTGTTTGGTCTAGCCATAAACTTCGATAAGGCCTTTAAATGTTGAGGGTTTTAATGGGAATTCCCCTATTACTTAACAGTCCAATAGACGCTTGTTATCAGTGCAGATATTCATAGACTACCTGGTGTATTGTAAGAAAAGTGTGTGGCATTGGGCAATCTCAACCCGGAATTTATTTATTTGGTTCATGCAACGACAAAGAAGCCTGTTTGTGTTTACATTTCACAGCTGCTAAGGCATCAGAAATTGTTACCGAAAATGTAGATTCTTGTCGTTTGGAATCTTTCCTTCAGTGATTGGCATTTCTTCATATTGATGTAATGAATTCCGAAATACCGGAGGTTGTCGACGGGAATGGCGAATGTTTGGGTCTTCCTGATCACTTCCTCAATATTCCGTTGACAGCACTTCGCTGTTCCGTTAATCGAGTTGTTGCTCTCCACCTCAACAATCCATCAGACGTTGTGGACCAAGAGACGGGATACGTCAATGACTACAATGGTTTGGCCGAGTTTGTCGGATTTACTTACTTGGAAACAGAACATTTCGGAAGACAGGAAAGCCCCACTGAGGAATTATTGGAAGAATGGAAAACACGGGACGATCTAGCGCCGTCAACCATCGGCAAACTTTGGGAGGGACTGTATATTCTCAACAGATTCGATATCATGAAGGATTGTCAGTTGGGTATAGGTAAACGAAATATATCATTATATATTATAGAATTATCTATATGTATCGCAGTTGAAAAAAAAACCAAACAAACAAAACCAGAACAAAACAATTAATTTGAGAAACATTCTTTGAGTGCTTATATTTTGTACAATTAATTTGTGAAATTTGATTTGTTTTAAAACAATAAAAACTTACAGATGGGTGTGGTTTTCCCCCCATTTTTCACATAAATATAGACATTCAATTGCCTCTCTGTAGTTGTTGGAGCGTGAAGCTTTCTTTAGACTTATGATCTATATTTGGAGACATCCACAATACACACACATCCCGGTTAAAGTATCAACTCTGGGTTTTCGGTGTCAGCCCTTGGCTCCACCATCTGGGTCCAAGCAGCATGCTCTGTTACCTGAGTAACAGACAATTTGTTTATTTATACATGTAAAATACGTCCTCTCAATTAAGTAGTGAAGTTACACGTGTTTGAAACAATTTAAAGCTATAGATGATAGGCGTGCTATCGTTGGCATATATGAATAAGATTGATTAACACGCAGATCCAATCTACATTGGTCGCCGGCCTATTCTCTTTAAGGGTTGCCAATTTACGTGTTTCCTCGACACGATAGCGATGTTGATGTAGAATAATGCTCAAGAAAAATAACTGAATTCGAAAACTTCTGGGAATAAAAAACAAGTTATGTACAAATTACTACACATTTCCCTAAGCCCTTTTGAAAATAGTGGCCGGGTGGCGCAGTGGTAACGCACTCGCCTTTCACCTGGCCGTTCGGCGTAAGACTTCGTGGGGTTTCCCTGGGTACTCCGGTTTCCTCCCACAAAAAGACCCGTCGCGCGCTTACATTCGGACAAACAAGAATGATTAGTGTCAGTTGAAATTGTTGTAATATAAAGAAAGTTTCTATTATTTAAATATAGGTCGATATCTGCCTTCTGATCTCCCGGATTTACTTACCTTCGCTTCACTCGATCAGTATAGCTTGACAGCTAATGGACTCTTCTCAGGGCGTGTTCCTTGTATTCTACATGTAGAGACATCCCGGGTGAAGTCCTGAGAGAAATCAATCTGGGTTTTCAGTGTCAATCTTCGGCGCGCTCCTTTTGTCTTTCTGTCCCGAGCCAAAATGCAGCTTGTATTTTAATACACTGATCATGTTTTCGATTTATCCTGCAACTTAAAACTTGTAAATCAGCTTATTTCAACAACTATATTTATATTTCTCAACGTAATATATCATTTTAAATTCAAAGAGTAAATCTGTCTCATTACGGCACGTGCTAAAATACAGCTGTTTTCCGTCACTGCTGAACACGGCAAAATATATATGGCAGCTGTATTTCGACAATGGCAACAACGGTTGTAAGATAAACATATTTATAAGAATGATTTTCACAAAACTTTGACATGACGTTAAGATACTAATCAACATGGTGCCAAAATTTAATTCTGTGAATACCATCGTATTTAACATCAACATAACGGTAAATTGTAACTCAAGATATAAACAATTATTGGTGTAAAAACTGACAAATTGTTAGACTCTAATGTTACACGGAAAATTCCAAACATTTTTTTTTTTTTGTAAATTTCAGTAAAAGATGTTGAGTCATACCAGAAAAACAGAGAAAGAGAACAAGACCTGATGCAACCTCGTAAGAGCAATGAAGGTACGAAACATTTCTAAAGCCAATTTGTGACCGTATAAGGAAATATAGGATATACTGATATCGTCAACCTTATTTATACACTTCTTTGGAATCGAGATATTTTTCACAGTCCCTTGAATTTAGAGTTTAAAATATTGCCAAATACCTTTTAAATTGAAATACGTTGGATAAATATCGACATAAAATGGAAATGATGAATCTACTGTGGGCTACTTACGATATCCGGAAAATGTTCTGTTCAAAATAAAATACGTTACGTGGATAAAAATAGATAAAAGACGCTAAATCAAAGGTGTACATGTAATGCTAGATCATTGTATTTGATTATTGTACAAGGGGAGACAAATCGTATACCCATTGCTCAGTTTTGTTTGAAATCTTTTGCAGCATCACAAAGATCGGATTGTCCAGCGGAAAAGAAAGAGAACCTATGTAAACAGGACAGTAAGTACATTTAGTAGACCAGGAGAGGATGATGTGTGATTCTGTAGATGTGGAGAGGATGATGTGTGATTCTGTAGATCTGGAGAGGATGGTGTGTGATTCTGTAGATCTGGAGAGGATGGTGTGTGTGATTATGTAGATGTGAAGAATATGATATGTGATTCTATAGATCTGGAGAGGATGGTGTGTTATTCTGTAGATCTGGAGAGGATGGTGTGTGATTCTGTAGATCTGGAGAGGATGGTGTGTGATTCTGTAGATCTGGAGAGGATGGTGTGTGATTCTGTAGATCTGGAGAGGATGGTGTGTGTGATAATGTAGATGTGAAGAATATGATATGTGATTCTGTAGATCTGGAGAGGATGGTGTGTTATTTTGTAGATCTGGAGAGGATGGTGTGTGATTCTGTAGATCTGGAGAGGATGGAGTGTGATTCTGTAGATCTGGAGAAGATGGTGTGTGATTCTGTAGATCTGGAGAGGATGATGTGTGATTCTGTAGATCTGGAGAGGATGATGTGTGATTCTGTAGATCTGGAGAGGATGGTGTGTGATTCTGTAGATCTGGAGAGGATGGTGTGTGTGATTATGTAGATGTGAAGAATATGATATGTGATTCTATAGATCTGGAGAGGATGGTGTGTTATTCTGTAGATCTGGAGAGGATGGTGTGTGATTCTGTAGATCTGGAGAGGATGGTGTGTGATTCTGTAGATCTGGAGAGGATGGTTTGTGATTCTGTAGATCTGGAGAGGATGGTGTGTGTGATAATGTAGATGTGAACAATATGATATGTGATTCTATAGATCTGGAGAGGATGGTGTGTTATTTTGTAGATCTGGAGAGGATGGTGTGTGATTCTGTGGATCTGGAGAGGATGGTGTGTGATTCTGTGGATCTGGAGAGGATGGTGTGTGATTCTGTAGATGTGGTGAGGATGATGTGTGATTCTGTAGATCTGGAGAGGATGGAGTGTGATTCTGTAGATCTGGAGAGGATGGTGTGTGATTCTGTAGATCTGGAGAGGATGATGTGTGATTCTGTAGATCTGGAGAGGATAGTGTGTGATTCTGTAGATCTGGAGAGGATGGTGTGTGTGATTATGTAGATGTGAAGAATATGATATGTGATTCTATAGATCTGGAGAGGATGGTGTGTGATTCTGTAGATCTGGAGAGGATGGTGTGTGATTCTGTAGATGTGGAGAGGATGGTGTGTGATTCTGTAGATCTGGAGAGGATGGTGTGTGTGATTATGTAGATGTGAAGAATATGATGTGTGATTCTATAGACCTGGAGAGGATGGTGTGTGATTTTGTAGATCTGGTGAGGATAGTGTGTGATTCGGTAGATGTGGACAAGATAGTGTGTGATTCTGTAGATCTGGAGAAGATGGTTTGTGATTTTGTAGATCTGGTGAGGATAGTGTGTGATTCGGTAGATGTGGAGAAGATGGTGTGTGATTCTGTAGATGAGGAGAAGATGGTGTGTGATTCTGTAGATGTGGAGAAGATGGAGTGTGATTCTGTAGATCTGGAGAAGATAGTGTGTGATTATGTAGATCTGGAGAGGATGGTGTGTGATTCTGTAGATCTGGAGAGGATAGTGTGTGATTCTGTAGATCTGGAGAGGATGGTGTGTGTGATAATGTAGATGTGAAGAATATGATGTGTGATTCTATAGATCTGGAGAGGATGGTGTATGATTTTGTAGATCTGGAGAAGATGGTGTGTGATTCTGTAGATCTGGAGAGGATGGTGTGTGATTCTGTAGATCTGGAGAGGATGGTGTGTGATTCTGTAGATCTGGAGAGGATGGTGTGTGTGATTATGTAGATGTGAAGAATATGATGTGTGATTCTATAGACCTGGAGAGGATGGTGTGTGATTTTGTAGATCTGGAGAAGATGGTGTGTGATTCTGTAGATCTGGAGAGGATGGTGTGTGATTCTGTAGATCTGGAGAAGATGGTGTGTGATTCTGTAGATCAAGAGAGGATAGTGTGTGATTCTGTAGATGTGGAGAAGATGGTGTATGATTTTGAAGATCTGGTGAGGATAGTGTGTGATTCGGTAGATGTGGAGAAGATGGTGTGTGATTCTGTAGATCTGGAGAGGATGGTGTTGGATTCTGTAGATCTGGAGAAGATGGCGTGTGATTCTGTAGATCTGGAGAGGATGGTGTGTGATTCTGTAGATCTGGAGAGGATGGTGTGTGATTCTGTAGATCTGGAGAGGATGGTGTGTGATTCTGTAGATCTGGAGAGGATATTGTGATTCTGTAGATCTAGAGAAAATGGAATGTGATTCTGTAGATGTGGAGAAGATGGAGTGTGATTCTGTAGATCTGGAGAAGATGGTGTGTGATTCTGTAGATCTGGAGAGGATGGTGTGTGATTCTGTAGATCTGGAGAGAATAGTGTGATTCTGTAGATCTAGAGAAGATGGTGTGTGATTCTGTAGATCTGGAGAGGATAGTGTGTGATTCTGTAGATCTGGAGATGATGGTGTGTGATTCTGTAGATCTAGAGAAGATGGTGTGTGATTCTGTAGATCTGGAGAGGATAGTGTGTGATTCTGTAGATCTGGAGAGGATGGTGTGTGTGATTATGTAGATGTGAAGAATATGATATGTGATTCTATAGATCTGGAGAGGATGGTATGTGGTTCTGTAGATCTGGAGAGGATGGTGTGTAATTCTGTAGATGTGGAGAGGATGGTGTGTGATTCTGTAGATCAAGAGAGGATAGTGTGTGATTCTGTAGATCTTGTGAGGATAGTGTGTGATTCGGTAGATGTGGAGAAGATTGTGTGTGATTCTGTAGATCTGGTGAGGATAGTGTGTGATTCGGTAGATGTGGAGAAGATTGTGTGTGATTCTGTAGATGTGGAGAAGATGGTGTGTGATTCTGTAGATCTGGAGTGGATAGTGTGATTCTGTAGATCTGGAGAAGATGGTGTGTGATTCTGTAGATCTGGAGAGGATGGTGTGTGATTCTGTAGATCAAGAGAGGATAGTGTGTGATTCTGTAGATGTGGAGAAGATGGTGTGTGATTTTGTAGATCTGGTGAGAATGGTGTGTGATTCGGTAGATGTGGAGAAGATGGTGTGTGATTCTGTAGATGTGGAGAAGATGGAGTGTGATTTTGTAGATCTGGAGAAGATGGTGTGTGATTCTGTAGATCTGGAGAGGATGGTGTGTGATTCTGTAGATCTGGAGAAGATGGTGTGTGATTCTGTAGATGTGGAGAAGATGGAGTGTGATTTTGTAGATCTGGAGAAGATGGTGTGTGATTCTGTAGATCTGGAGAGGATGGTGTGTGATTCTGTAGATCTGGAGAGGATGGTGTGTGATTCTGTAGATCTGGAGAGGATAGTGTGATTCTGTAGATCTAGAGAAGATGGAATGTGATTCTGTAGATGTGGAGAAAATGGAGTGTGATTCTGTAGATCTAAAGAAGATGGTGTGTGATTCTGTAGATTTGGAGAGGACAGTGTGATTCTGTAGATCTGAAGATGATGGAGTGTGATTCTGTAGATCTGGAGAGGATAGTGTGTGATTCTATAGATGTGGAGAAGATGGTGTGTGATTTTGTAGATCTGGAGAGGTAGTGTGTGATTTGGTAGATGTGGAGAAGATGGTGTGTGATTTTGTAGATCTGGAAAGGATGGTGTGTGATTACGAAAATTGCATTGTAGTTCCTGCAGACTATATACTTTCCTAGAAAGAGCTGACATCTGGGTGAAACTCGAGGATTTGTTAGTGCATGGGTTTGAATCACATGTAGGATATTTTATTTAAAATTATCCCTACCATCTGTAGCTTTGATCACAGTCCACTAGACAAAACCCTTTTCATGGTCATGTAATCACGACTACCTATGAAAGAGGATTCGGTGTACAGTGGACTGGTGTAGTAGGTGATTTATTACACACATTTCCATTCTGCCAAATTTGCAGTACTATTCAGTTGTTTAACGGTTGTCATAATGCTCTCTATGGGAACTGTTCTATTTTTTTACGTCATTTGAAGTTGAATGTGTTGAGTACTTGTTAGTATACATGTTGATTCCGTTCTTTTTTTGGGAACATGACATTATTTACTTGGATTGATTGACGGGTGTCGCCAATGAAGGAGAACATCTTCTCTGTTCTTCTTGTACTTGTTCAGCAATCTCCATGTAAATCCCAGTTTATGCATATTTTGCCCTGGTTTCATTGAATTTGTGTTTGGATTATGATTGGGCATTTAAGATAGGAATCACATCTGTATAAAGGATGTATCTGTTTTTATCGTAAAGATGTCCGACCGTCGTTACACTATTACCTGTAATTGTTTCTCGTTAGCTGCTGTGTTTGTTCTACCCACAAGCCTGACCATCTATCTTAATGACAGTTATACATCAGTCTGTTTGCGAATACATTGTCTTGGATATGTTTACCATTCCGTAACACATATCTTTAAGTACATTTTCCTGTTGTGTCCACACTACAAATGTGGTAAATGTATTGTAATATTTATATTTTAGTTGAAAGCAAAACTCCTCAGTTCTTTGATGCATTCGTATCATACAACGACGAAGGAAAGGATCTCAGTTTTGTGAAGAATATGATACAGATCTTGGAAGGCGAACCCCACAAGCTGAAACTCTACATTCCAGGCAGAGACGGCCTGCCAGGGGCAGCTAAATATGTGACAGAGGCAAAGCTCATTGAGTCACGGTAAGTACTTCATTTTGTTACGAATCAGTTGCAGACTTGTATAGTCCTTCTAAGGTTTATCGTAGATTAAAGAGACCAAATACACATGGTGAAGTGTAAAAAAACCTCCCATAATCTTGAATCAAAAAAGAAATGAAAGACAAAAATAAATCATTTAAAAAAATTATCGGTATCTATGGAAGCAACGCAGAATCATCACATTCAGATACATACTCCTCCGGAACACATGATTTCATTCTTTATTTTACATGGAAGTTAATGGTATTTTCCATTTTTCGTGGTCTCCTTAAATGTATTTGTCTAATATCTACTTTCGATTTTCCATTTACTGTGTGTTGCGTGTTTGGTGTTCTGTTGCTGTGGTGTCCCGTTGTTTTATCTCACCTTCTCCAAGCCATGGACATAAAAGGTGGCTACAAGGAGAGAGGAGGTGGGAAGGTGGGGTGGGGGGTGGGGTGGGGTAGGGGGTTGGCTGTAAGAGTGATTTAGATACGGAGATGGCTTAGTTATCTTTTACCAAAATGTTGGAAAAATAGGGTCGGTATCAGGGAAGGTCATAATCAACAACCCCCTCTCTCTCTCTCTCTCTCTCTCTCTCTACATATGAAACACCAGATAGATCTGCATGGCACAGAAAGCTCTCCTGATCTGAGTATCACTTGAGCGTCTCGGATCCTGAACAAGGACTTGCATATTTCTGAAATCAAGCATAAAATGGGTACTGAATCAGTATTTTGGCTGGTATTAACCCGTATTAATTAGAACAGGGGCAACCCCACTGTGTTTTGCGTATGAATATACTGTACCAAATATACGTTATACTCTCACCGCTACACATCGCAAGTAAAACTGAATTCGAAACAGCATGGTCACACTATAACACAACAAAATGGTTTTCCCTGAAATAGCTGTACTCATATACTGTTAGTTTTGTACTTTCCTAATATTACGTTTTGTTATTAGTATTTTATCAGAACTTGTTCCTGTAAGAATGACTTTGTTTGACATTCTACAGGTGTCGCAGGATGGTCATTATTCTCTCCAATGATTATCTACAGAGCAGTGCTTGTGACTTCCAGTCTAAATTTGCTCATGCCCTGTCCCCAGGTAAGTATGAACTGCAATAATCTGTCTCGTACTTGGTATTATGGGATGTCTGTAACTTATAAACTTATCAATGAATTCTAGATAGGTTCGTATCTAGTAGTGCAAGCTTTGTATCTAGTTGTATCTTATACAGTAGTGAGGGTACTGTTTCAGTGAGAACTCTGTATCTAGTTGTATCTTATACAGTAGTGAGGGTACTGTTTCAGTGAGAGGTATGTATCTAGTATCTTATACAGTAGTGAGGGTACTGTTTCAGTGAGAGGTATGTATCTAGTATCTTATACAGTAGTGAGGGTACTGTTTCAGTGAGAACTCTGTATCTAGTTGTATCTTATACAGTAGTGAGGGTACTGTTTCAGTGAGAGTGAGAACTCTGTACTCTGTATCTAGTTGTATCTTATACAGTAGTGAGGGTACTGTTTCAGTGAGAACTCTGTATCTAGTTGTATCTTATACAGTAGTGAGGGTACTGTTTCAGTGAGAACTCTGTATCTAGTTGTATCTTATACAGTAGTGAGGGTACTGTTTCAGTGAGAGGTCTGTATCTAGTTGTATCTTATACAGTAGTGAGGGTACTGTTTCAGTGAGAGGTCTGTATCTAGTGTATCTTATACAGTAGTGAGGGTACTGTTTCAGTGAGAGCTCTGTATCTAGTTTATCTTATACAGTAGTGAGGGTACTGTTTCAGTGAGAACTCTGTATCTAGTTGTATCTTATACAGTAGTGAGGGTACTGTTTCAGTGAGAACTCTGTATCTAGTTGTATCTTATACAGTAGTGAGGGTACTGTTTCAGTGAGAACTCTGTATCTAGTTGTATCTTATACAGTAGTGAGGGTACTGTTTCAGTGAGAACTCTGTATCTAGTTGTATCTTATACAGTAGTGAGGGTACTGTTTCAGTGAGAACTCTGTATCTAGTTGTATCTTATACAGTAGTGAGGGTACTGTTTCAGTGAGAACTCTGTATCTAGTTGTATCTTATACAGTAGTGAGGGTACTGTTTCAGTGAGAACTCTGTATCTAGTTGTATCTTATACAGTAGTGAGGGTACTGTTTCAGTGAGAACTCTGTATCTAGTTGTATCTTATACAGTAGTGAGGGTACTGTTTCAGTGAGAACTCTGTATCTAGTTGTATCTTATACAGTAGTGAGGGTACTGTTTCAGTGAGAACTCTGTATCTAGTTGTATCTTATACAGTAGTGAGGGTACTGTTTCAGTGAGAACTCTGTATCTAGTATCTTATACAGTAGTATCTTATACAGTAGTGTGGGTACTGTTTCAGTGAGTACTCTGTATCTAGTTGTATCTTATACAGTAGTGAGGGTACTGTTTCAGTGAGAACTCTGTATCTAGTTGTATCTTATACAGTAGTGAGGGTACTGTTTCAGTGAGAACTCTGTATCTAGTTGTATCTTATACAGTAGTGAGGGTACTGTTTCAGTGAGAACTCTGTATCTAGTTGTATCTTATACAGTAGTGAGGGTACTGTTTCAGTGAGAGCTCTGTATCTAGTGTATCTTATACAGTAGTGAGGGTACTGTTTCAGTGAGAGGTCTGTATCTAGTATCTTATACAGTAGTGAGGGTACTGTTTCAGTGAGAACTCTGTATCTAGTTGTATCTTATACAGTAGTGAGGGTACTGTTTCAGTGAGAACTCTGTATCTAGTTGTATCTTATACAGTAGTGAGGGTACTGTTTCAGTGAGAACTCTGTATCTAGTTGTATCTTATACAGTAGTGAGGGTACTGTTTCAGTGAGAACTCTGTATCTAGTTGTATCTTATACAGTAGTGAGGGTACTGTTTCAGTGAGAACTCTGTATCTAGTTGTATCTTATACAGTAGTGAGGGTACTGTTTCAGTGAGAGCTCTGTATCTAGTTGTATCTTAAACAGTAGTGAGGGTACTGTTTCAGTGAGAGGTATGTATCTAGTATCTTATACAGTAGTGAGGGTACTGTTTCAGTGAGAACTCTGTATCTAGTTGTATCTTATACAGTAGTGAGGGTACTGTTTCAGTGAGAACTCTGTATCTAGTTGTATCTTATACAGTAGTGAGGGTACTGTTTCAGTGAAAACTCTGTATCTAGTGTATCTTATACAGTAGTGAGGGTACTGTTTCAGTTAGAGCTCTATATCTAGTATCTTATACAGTAGTGAGGGTACTGTTTCAGTGAGAACTCTGTAT